AATATAATTGCTTGTGGGGGTTGCTCTGTTGTCTGAAATTTTTGTGGTTGACTTTTTCATTGTGGTTTCCACACACTGGCTTCAATAGCACCCATGCTAAAGTTGTAGTGCTTTTATTATGTTACTTGTAACAGTGGATCATTTCTGTTTGTTTACCTATTTTTGTCTTTTGAGATAGGTTCTCACTGTGTGGTTATGGCTTGTCTTCAATTCACTATGTAGTCCAAACTGGCCTTGAGTATGTTCAGCCTTCTAAGTCCTGAAATTACAGGCATGTGCCACAGCACTGGTCTAACACTGCATCGTTTTAGGTTTGTTTTTATTTAAGAAGATCCAAAGTGTTTTGTTTTTGGTCTTTTGCTTAGAACTTCGAGGACCTGCTCACACAGGAACAATTTTTATGGTAATTTTCAGTTTAGGTGCTCCTAGACTAAATGGTATTACTTTGTTTTAGTTACCTTCTCATGGCTGAGATAAAATGTCCAACACCCAAAGTTAGAAAAACAAAGAGTTTATTGTAGCTCACAGTTTGTAGAGATTTTGGTTCATAGTTGGCTGGCTGTTAGGCAGGGTGGCATGGCAGAGAGATAGTGCAGAAATGGCCCATGACAAAGCAGGGCAGGCAGAAGGCAGGAAGCAGCTATTGATAAGCATGGCAATAGCAGCCCTCTTTCTGTCCCTTATAGTCTATCCAGGGTACTTGCCCTTAGGTAGCACTCATACCTAGGGTAGAAAACGTTAAATCTAATGTCACACACTCTAAATGCAGCCACCTCCAAAAAGCTTTACCCATGACTATGTGAGGCTTTGGGGGGACATCTAGACACAAACCATGACAGGCTTTATGCCTATGAAGAGACACCCTAATCCTACATGGTCCTGCTTTTTCTTTTTTTCTCATCAGGGGAAAAATACTTCCTCTCACGAACTAGACAGTTAAGCTTTCCCATAACATGCACAATGGTGCATGACATTTTTTTTTCTTGCCTGCACTGTCAGTGAGTGAGTGTTCTTTCTTCCAAGCATTTAGCTTCAGTTTAAGGATGGATATTAACAATAAAGTAGAACCTTGCAGTACCATATATTCACACTTGTATGCATGACAGTTGCCTAAGTATCTCAAGGTCTTCCCCACCCTTATTTTCAGATTCTTTCCCTCTAAAATCTAGGATTTGTTTTCCTTTCTTGTGGTGTCAGATCTTCATTAACTAGTTTTTGAAAGTAATAGATCTTTGTAGAAGAATTTCCAGCTTATAGCGATTTTTATAGAACTGAGCAGAATTAAAGTTCCCATATACAGTTTGCCCTATAACTGTGTATTAGCATTAGTGTGATTCATCTGTTACAGTTAATGAACTATTACTGTATTATTAAGCCTATACTTTTACCTTATGTCTCATTTTTTTTATGGTACAGTTCAGTGAGATTTGACAAATACTTAGTGTCCATAGTATCATACAAAACAGTTTAACAGCTTAACAGCCTTCTGTGTTTCACCTATTTTCCCCCTCTCTCCCAACTTGCATGGTAAATGCCGGTCATTTTACTCTCTTTATTGTTTTGCCTTTTCCAGAATGTCATGAAGTTGAAATCATACAGTCTTGTCTTTTTTTGTTTTTAGTCTTTTATCTTTCACACTAGTGTTTTCATTTAGTAATATCATGTAAGATTTCTTTATATCTTTTCATGATTTGATTACTTATCAAATTACTTGCTCAGTAATACTTCATTTTAGGGTTTTACCAAAATTTCTCTGTCCATTCTTATATTGAAAGATAGCTTGTCTTAGGCAATTTTGAACAAAGCTCCTAATAACATTCATGTTTAGATTTTTGCCTGACCATAAGTTGCAACTTAGCTGACTATGAAGGAGCATAGTTATGAGGTCATATGTAAAGCTATCCTTAGTCTGAGGTGTAGCACAGTAGTGGGACATATTTTGTGAAACTGGAGCTCTGGTGGAATGTCCACGATATATATCTGCTTTTATAGAACTATTATATTTTGGAATTATGTTTTTGCTGCGGTTACTTTTTTAAAAATAGTCTCTTGAATCTTGAGCCTAACACATTCTAAATCATTTTTATGTCATTTCGGTATATTACAATTGGCAAAGTTTGCAGGTTATCTTTTTTAAATGTATTTGGTACAGGGTCTCACAACACAGTTCAGACTTGTAGTGATCCTTCTGTTTTTAGCCTCCCCAGTGCTGAGATTGCAGGTGTGTGCCACCACACTGGGTCTCTGTGGCTGGCTCAGTGTACCCGGGGGTGGGGCAGGCACGACGAGTAGTGCTGGGGATCAGACCCGGGTCCCCGCGCTTGCCTAAGCAGGCACTTAGTCTGCTGAGCTATCTTTCCAGCCCAAACTTTGCAATTTTAAGGCTGAAATATGACAGTTACTTAGAAATACTAGTGATTTATAGATATACACAAACCTTGAAAATGTTTATGCTAGACAACACAAGCTTTATTTTTACTATTTCTGTGTATCATTCGTAAGATAGTAATACCTGTCAGTCTTCATGTTCTAAAAGGACTGTTTTTTGTCTTTATAAAAGAACTTATGTTCACTGTAATTTGGAAGACAGAAAATAATATAAAAGAGATGTTAAAATTGTCCCTCAGTTACAAATTGTCTCAGTCCATCCATCTCTGAGAGAGAATTAAAGTTTTCTCAGCATTTTTGTCTTATTTCACTAAAGACTTTTTCTCATGTATAACTGATATTTACATGTAGGTTGTTACATGTGTGGGTGTTTTGTTTTTGCTTTTTGTGATACAGGGCTGGGAACTGAACCCAGGGAGTGCTGAACTATATCCCCATCCCTTTGCATTTTATTTTGAGACAGTTTTTGTCATGCTGGCCCCAAACTTGTGACCTATGTAGTTGTGATTATAGGCATGCACGACTATGCTTGGCTAGCACACGTTTTAAACTCTTTCTCCTCTATACTTTCCTATTTAATAGTATTCTAGACAGTTTCTTATTTCATTATTTTATTACCAAGAACATGTATGAGGAAGAAGAATGTGAGTCCATGAGTTAGAACATAAGGTTCAGGCAAAGTGGAAAGGGACGGACAGAGCACACAGGCTTTCCTCCAAGGTGCTGTTTTACCCTTTCCAGCCTCTTAGCCGCATGTCCTTTCTTTCTTTTCTGTGTATTATCGTGAGTGTGTTTTTAAGGAAAGCAAGAAGGTGAATTGACTGTTTTGATTTGCTCAAAAACTTACTAGGATTATAATGTCTATCTAAATGGCACAGTTAGCCCCTCATTTCCTTGTAATCTTTCACAAAATTGTAAGCTTTTAGTTAAATGATTTAGATTATATGCAGAATAAGTAATTCATTAATTTTTAAAGTTAAGGATTTTTCCTTTTAGACTCCTTTCTGCGAAACCGTTCAAGCTCTGACCATGAAGCTACAGCCATGATGAAAGCCCAGTTTATGAGTCTTTGGGATGGGTTGGATACTGATCACAGTTGCCAGGTATTTCTGCAAAACTTGTGTTGCCCCTAACTTACGTTGTTTTTATTAGTACAAGATTTAGGGGGCTACTTATACTTTTGTTTAAAGTTCTTTCTTGTACTTTTTATATGTATCAATTGATGAGGATCCAAAAGAATATAGTTTGTGTGAATTATCCTTTTTGAGACTTCATGTTTAACAAAACACTAATAGATTGCCTATGTGCCAGAAACAGATGCGTTGAAAGAGAGAAAACCAGAGGCAGACCTGTTCTACGGCTGAGATAGACTGAGCCAGAGAAGAGGCAGTGACTACGCTAGTGTCTGTGTGTGATTTTTTTTTTATCTTTGGCACTTAGTGTGTCTTTATCATCTGTACTCTCAGTCTTCGTGTTTCTTATTTTATGCTTATTTATTGTGTTCATTAGCTATGTTCCTTTAGGATTCCAGTTTTATGCAAAATAGTCTTGTAGTTTGTTTATTTTTGCGGTACCCGGGATTGAACTCAGGACCTTGTGCTTGCCAGGCAAGCGCTTACTCTACTGAGCTATCTCCCCGGCCAGCCTTCTAGTTTAGTTTTGGTTTTCCCACTATAAGGCTGCAAAAACCCCATCAAAGTTCCCTTGTGACGTCTCCAGAGAGAAAGCCAATCGCTTTCATGACTGAACCTCTGAATATTCCATACTTCTTACCAGCTCACTGCTGTATTTTGAAAGAAAATTTAATATTGATTTGGCATGTTTGTTTAGCTGCCATATGGTTGGAAATGCACATCCTAAAAGTACTTTTTCCATTTTTTTTTATAATCACATGCAAATGTTAATATTCTCTTGTTGTAACCTTAGAAGATATTATTTTGCAAACATTTTGCTCTATAAACATAATATATCAAGAATTGCATCTTTTCTTAGCACTTCTTTTTTTTTTTTTTAAGTGATGGGATGGAACCCAGGGCCATGCGCATACTACCCCTAGCCCCTTCATTACTGTTTAATAATTCTGACATTTCTATTTGGTCATTATTTTTTCACCCCCTATATTTTGTCTCCTGTAGGTATTTTTAGGACCTTATTTATATTCTGTCTTTTCTGTCATAGTTTGTGTTTCTTTGTAACATGTTCCAGGCAATTTCTTTAGCTCTTCTTTTTTCAGTTTGATAATTCTTTGTTCATTTGGAGCACTTCTGTTATAAATGGGAGCAGTGAACTACTTATGGCAGTTATTTTTCAGTTCTAGCAATTCTTTTAAATGGTTTTGCAAGTCTACCAGGTCCATTTCGACAGATACTTGCTGGTTACTTAGGTTTCTAATAGGTTTAGAGATCAGAGTCCTGGCATTACTAGTTGTATGGACCTTGGCTACATTTCATAATTACTGTGTATCTGGGTAGAGGAACTATTCTCTATAAAAAATGATAGAATATTATCCATTTCAGAATAATTGGAAAGAACCACTCTGAGTGCTTATAAAGGTACCTGGCATATATTTAGTGCATAATGCTTTGCTGTTTGTGCTTCTAAAAAAATTCTTTTATTTATTCCTTTAAATATCCTAACATACTTTTTATAGTTTATATTCAGTAATTGGATTGTGAGTTTTTATTCATTTAGTTCTATCATTTGTTTGAATTTATAGTGTGTGTTTTTATGACTTAGTGGAAAACTTACATTTGGTAGAACTTTTAAAATTTGTGAATTCTTTTATCTTGTTTTGATTTGTTTCCCTAAGGAAATTTTATACTTGTCTTCTGCCAGACTTTTTTTTCCCAATGCAAACAGGTAAGCACAGGTCCAAGGTCCATCTGTGTTGGCTGATGATAGATAATCATGAGAGTTTTGTGTAAGATTTTTTTTTTTTTTTTTTTTTTTTGTAGTACCGGGGATTGAACTCAAGCCCTTGCGCTTGCCAGGCAAGTGCTTATTCTACTGAGCTATCTCCCCGGCCCCCCAACTTTTTTTTTTTAAATGAGACAGAATTTGAATAAATGGCCCAGATTGGCCTTGAGCTCACAGCCCTCTTCCCTCAGATTCCCGAGTGCTAAAGTTACCTTTTTTGAGCCTGGAGCTGGAGCCCAGAAGCCTGGGAAGCTTTCCTTGTCGTTGTATTCACACAGCAAGCACACAGTGACTGCTCCGGTGCCACCATCGCCACAACCAGGAGGCATAGTAACTGATGACACAACCTCCACCCTGAAGTGAGAGACAGACACGTGAACAACGTTTTTAGGGTCCTCATTGAAGAAAAAGTTTTAAGGCATAGATTTCTGTCTGATTACTTTACATGGAAAGTGATAGAACTTTAGGGTGTGAACCCAAGGATTGGCTGATGTTAGGCAAGTAGTCTGCCGCTGAGTTACATCCCAGTCCTCAGCATCATTTCATTTTGAGATGGGATCTTGTTAAAGTAGCCAAGATTACAAGCATGTATGAGTGATAAAATTTATCATGTTTTAAGGATTTTAAAGAAAACTTTTAACAGCTATTATTATCTAGATGATACACTGATTTTTGTAGTTCACTAAAAAAAATTAGTCTTATTTACCATTTTGAATTTTAGTTTAGCTGTACTACTATGCTAAATAAAATTAATGTATATATACTAAATAGAACTCATAGTGCTGATAAAATATATATGTAAAAGATTGTTTTTCCCCTTAAAATCATTCCTTAACTTTTTTTTTTTAGTTTTTTTAATTTATTACAGGGTCTACTGTACTAAATTTGTCTAACTACAGATCAGACTCATAGTGATCCTCCTGTTTTCAGCCTCCCAAGTACTGGGATTATAGGCGTGAGAGCCACCACGCCCAGTCTTAATTGCTGTCTCAGTATGCCCTGAGGGGGGGTATGGCAAGCCAGGAATCAAACCTTGGTCCCTGCGTCTGCTTTAATCTGCTGAGGTATCTGGCCCGCTCTTCCTTAGCATTTCTACTTGACTGGACTTGGTGGTGCATGCCTATAATCTCAGCACTTGGGATGCTGAGGCAGGAGCTTCATTGAGTTCCAGATAAGCCTGGGCTACAAAGTGAGCTCAAGTCCAGTGTGAAATGCCTAGTGAGACATTGTCTCAAAAAGACCAAAAAAAAAAAAATTAACTGAAGTTATAAATGATTTGAGTCACTCTTGCTTTTTTATCATGAATACCTTTTATTGTCCTGTATGTAGTCATCCGACCATTTTCATTTGAATTTCTTGATTGTGTTTTTTAACATTTATTTTCCATACTTCCATTTTTATTTTGTTCTAGGCTTTTTTTTTTTAAAATCTAAAATGTTACTCGACATGTCCGTTTTTCAGATTTTTTTTCAAATACTTCCTCAACCTCAGTTCCTTTTGTGACCTCTACAGCTGAATATGGCCAGTCTTTAACAGACTTCCATTTGTTTGAATTTCTTTTTTAACAGTGGATCAAACTGGATTTTTATATAAGAACTTTATACTCGTTCTTTATCTCATTTAATTCATTCATTTAAGCATTTTTAATGTCTTGTTTTACATTTGGTGGAAATTTTAAAAATTTTATGAAGTTGAAGAAGGCAATAACAAGAAATTGGTATAAGCATTAATATTTTAATTCTAAGACCACCTAATTCAAATACAGAATTACATATTTTGTGGAACTAACATTTCTCAAGTTTATATTTGTACTTCTTTCCTTTTTCCTCTTGGTGCCAAACTCAGTTGAGTAGTTTGGTGCTGATGCTATTAAATATTATTGACTGTAAAGCACAAGTAGAATATAAGATTTGGTAGATGTTTAGTTTACTTCAAGATTAATAGTTCAGAAATTTAAAACTTCAGGCAAATATAGCGTTAGAGAAATATTTCCAGTTTTCCACTTATTTCCAATAATACTAATATATTTCATTTTGGATAGCAGATTTGTACTTACTGAGTTATACTGAAGTATTGATGTCCTTCAGAAATACACTTTTTATTTAAGGCCTCAGACAAGCTAGGCGAGTACATGCTTGCCCAGTTCTTTACAATCTTTTTTTTTTTATGTTTATTTTTACTCTCTTGCCATTGTTCACAGTTGGATTGCTGATAGTGCAACGAGATGATGTAAAATCTAGAGAATAACACATGATATATTACTATGTAATACTTACGTATACATGGAGATTCTGTATTTACTTATATGTATATTTTACATATTTGCAACTGAATAGTGTATAGTTCACTTACCATAAGTAGAGTGAAATGCATTGGTCTTTCCAGATTGCTATTATTTGATTTAAAATAAACTTCAATTTTATCTATAGTTATTTGACCAATGCTAGAATAAAATCAAATTTCTCATAAAAGATTTAGTTTGAAAGTCACCTAACTTTCCTTGTCTTCAAGTCCTAGTAATAGTGACCTCAGAGTAGGATCGGTAGATTTAATACTGGTGCTGTCTTGTCTACGTTTAGGTCATTGTGATGGGAGCTACTAATCGTCCCCAGGACCTGGACTCCGCCATAATGCGAAGAATGCCTACAAGATTTCACATCAACCAGCCTGTAGGTGGTCTTGATTGTATTATGCAGTTAAATATTGGCATTTAAAAAAAAATCTTGGCATTTTTCACAGGTCATTGTCTGTGATTTTTAAGAAGGGGATGTTTTATTTTATGGGACTCATTTATGACAAACAGGGAAGGAATTGGAGCATACAGTCAGTATGTTACATTTTAGCCATTCAGAGATGTTTTTAGTTTGTCATTCTCAGACTTTGGAATGCAAATTTTTAGTTCTATTTATAATCTTTGTCTAAAAATCATTTGTCCTATTAATGTTTTGTACCATAGATGAGTTCTGGCAGTAAACATGGTCTCCTTAGTTTAATGGTTGTAGCCTCTGCAGAATCTCCCTGTTGAGCTACTTGCTGCAGCTGCAACCTCTGGTTCCCCTGAGGGTACTCATACCTCATCACTGTATTTGAAAGTTACTTGGTAATCCAGTGAGGAGATTTCTTAATGTAGACTATAAATTTTGTTTAGCATAGTTAATATTTATGGAGCACTAAAATGTGCTAGACCCTTGCTAGGCCTTGGTGAGTGGAAGAAACACAGCTCTTGTCCTTTCAGCTCTGTGTTGCAGGAAAGCAGGTGAATAATGTAAAATGCGCTTTACAAAGCTAAGTTTAGAGAACTTTGAGAGCCTAAGATGTTGACAGATTACCGATTCTGTTTGTGGCCGCTGTGGGGGTCACAGTCTGCTTGGGCTTGAAACAGTATAGTAAGAACTTGACAAGCAAATGCGATAAGGACACCTTCCTGACAAGGTGAAGGGAACGTAGCGCAGAGGCACATTTTAGCAGATGAGCTTCAGGGTAATCAGTTAGGCCACCAAGGCAGATACGTGCAGATGAGGCTAGAAAGATCACTGCTGCCTAATTTATTTAGATGAACTTGGGATACTTGGCACAAGAGTTTAAAATAGTGTGTGAGCACAATTTTAGGACTATTTATTTATTTATTTATTTGCGGTACTGGGGATCGAACACAGGACCTTGCGCTTGCCAGGCAGGCATTTATGCTGCTGAACTATGTCCCCAGCCCTAATTTTAGGACATTTTTTTTTTTTTTTTTTTTTTTGCTCCCAGTGCCTTCAGGGAAGGTTTGGCCTGGCTTGAGTTGTGGGGATCGAACCACAGCAACCTGAGCCTGACTGCTTTGTTGAAGTGTAGCAGCCACTTAAAGAACTGAGCTAAGGGGCAGGCCCCCAATGTTAGGACATTTTAAAGACAGTTTATCTCAGTTTATCTGAAACCTAAGATTAATGACCTTTATCAGTAATTTATGTTCTAGACAACTTAAGATTTACTTTTTTTTTGGTGGAACCAGGGATTAAACTCAGACCCTTGTGCTTGCCAGGGAAGCACTTATTCCACTTAGCCATCTTCCTGGCGCAACTAAGATTTACTGATGAGCAGTAGACATCAAGTATTAGAAAAATACCTTTTAATTCATTAGAAGACAAAGATATTTGATTACAGTGGTATAGAACACAGGGAAAGTAGCCTTTGTTAAAGTTGAAAATTTAGTATATTGTATTTTAGCAAAGCAAACTATAAAAGGTTTCATTAGACTTGTTATAAATTTGTATGTCATTGATGTAGAAAATAGAATTTTGTTACCTTTTTTTCATTCTCATTTTGATGAATATGCACAAGTGTTGTAGGGGAATTGTTTTTCTTGTGTAATTACAGTGTCAATTTGTATTATTAATCTTATCTTTTTTTTTTTACATTTATTTAGTGTGTGTGTGTCTGTGTGTGTGTGTGTGTGTGTCCAGCTCAGCCCACCAGGGGGCGTGGCTGGCTGGCATGTGGTACTGGGGGATCGAACCGCGGTCCCTGTGCTTTAGCCAAGCTTGTTCCAAGTAGGTGCTTTAGACCACTGAGCCATCTCTCCAGCCCCTATTAATCTTATCTTAAAACACTTTTCCAAGTAAAATACTTACTAACAAAAAGTACTTATCAGTGATCACATAACATACAATTTAACCTTCCTACTATTTGAATTATGGAAACACAGTTTAGTTTTCTTTTTCAGGTAATTTGAAAAATTACCAGCTTGTCATAGCCAGCTTGTCAGTGGTTATAGGAACAATGATGATGTCAACCATGACTATTTAAGTAATTAATTAATTATTTTTTTTTGTGGTACGGGGGATTGAACTCAGGACCCTGCGCATGCCAAGCAAGCGCTAATTCTGCACTATCTCCCTGGCCACAGCCATGATAATTTTAAAGGCCAGCTATACTTACTGTATACGTAAGGTAGTCTGTAAAAGTTAAATGTAGTTTCTGATTTCAGTTGTAATAAGAGACAACATTGCTGAGAAATAATTCACTTAATATTTTTTAACATAAAAGTTATATGTCAAAATGGAGAGATAGGTTTATTTATTTTTTAAAAGTCTTTGTTTTATTTATTTGGTACAGGGTCTAACTAAGCAGCTCAGACTCGAAGTGTTCCTTGTGTCTCAACCTCCCCACTCAATATGCAAAATCAAGACCTTGCATTGACTTCTGTCATAGTTTTGTTATTTTGTAGAGGTATCATCAGGTAGTTTAGAAGACAAGCAGTAGGAGAGCAAGTTGATCCTTATTAAAAAAAAAAATACTAACTGGAAGTTATTCTGGTTTTAGGCATTAAAACAAAGAGAAGCAATCTTGAAGCTCATCTTGAAAAATGAAAATGTAAGTAGAAAATCATGATTTTTTCCCACATGCTGTATATTTATGTTTTTAAACTCATTTTAGAGAGAATAAGGAGGAAATCGGAGAACTCTGTAGCTTTGAATCTGACCTAAATTAGTATAAAGACATTTGGCTGTTCATTTAACTTGATAACTGTGATTTATTTGAGCTAGCTAAGTGATTTGTTTGTTTTTAAAGAGCAATATGTTTTGTATTTGTAGATTACAATTCTTTTGATATTTTTCAGGCCATCCTATGCTTATATAAAAATATTTACTTTTGTAAAGAATTGGAGTTTTTTATTTGTTTTTACTTAATTGCACTGTTTTTGTTGTTGGAATTTAGATTTAAGAGCAAATAATTGAAATCGTCAGTAGCTTTTTTTTTTTTGCAGAACTGGGGATTGAACTCAGGCCCTTCCTTGGGCTTGCCAGGGAAGCGCTTATTCCACTGAGCCATCTCCCTGGCCCCTCATCAATAGCTTTTGTGTTTAAATATTTTAAAAAAATATATTATCTAGTTATATTGTTCAAAGTTTTAAATACATGTATTAAATAATGTGAAGAGCAAAATCTTCATCCCCTATATCGCTTTATTCTTTCAGATTGGCTAATGCCTATACAAGCAAATTAGAACATACTATGCTTCCTGTCCCCTTTTTTACATAATCCATGCACACTGGTCTGTGTCTTGATCTTTCGTTTATGTTTGTAATCTTTCCATATTTCCATAGTTCCCTCCTTTTGTTCTTTCTCTGTGCTGCAGAGGACCTCTGTGTGATTCATTGAATGCAGGCTGTACCTGCATTCAATGGACATTCAAGTTGATTCTGGCCTTTCACTACTATAATAATACTCTGTTGAATGATCTTGTATGTGCACAGTTTCACACAAATATTATTAGGATAAATTTCCCAGAAGAGGAATTACTAGATCCATGAACTGAATATTTATACTTTGGTAGTTGTTGCAAATTGCCCATGCCTATTTATCAGGAGTAATGGACTGCAATCTTCCCTTGTTATGGTTGTTGTTGTTTTTTTTAATCAGTAAGAAACAGAGGTTTATTTTTATTCTATTTTTTTTTTTTTTTTTTTAAATGGAAAGTTTATTTTGGCTCACAGTGTTAAATTTCAGTTCATAGTCAGCTAACTTCCAGGCAGGGTGACATGGCATGACAGAAGAGAAATGGTTCACGGTTTGCCAAGCATAAAGCCATTAGCTTAGTTACTTTTTTCATTGCTTACACAAAATGTCCTACAACGCTTGTTATGGTTTTTTTTTTTTTTTAAT